AGCACTGGTGGATGATTTCCCTTGGATGGTTTAGTAGAAGTGGGTGTTCCTCGTGCAGATCCTGATGGCACTGGTTTTGGAGGAGTCATTTCAACAGGTTCTTCCTTTGTTGCATCCTTCTGCTTTGAAGCCGCCACTGGCGTCAAATTCATGTCCTCATCCATCTATAAATGGAAAACGCCAAGAAGGAAATAGCAGATTATGACTCGGATTAGTAGCATAAGATGCACACAAAAAAAAAACAGAAATGACCCTCAAACTAAAAGTACATTACTTGTAGAATCGGAGGCTTAAGAAACCGGAAAACAAAAATGCCCATCAAAATACATTTTTCCGATGAAAACCCATATATAAATGCGGGAATGTAATTAAATAAGTGCATCCAAGAATTGAAAATTTTGATTCCGTCAGCAGAGAAAAAAAAACATTGTGATCTGAAAAGCCGCGAGAGCTTACGTCTTCTGAATCATCCTCGTCCTCTGTATCTGAATCATTCAACCCATTGGCTTTACCAAGCAACTTCTTCAACTCTTTACCAGACTTGCTCAATCCTCCCTCCTCTTCTTCATTTTCTTCGTCATCATCCTGCAAACAAAGTTCAAAGAAAGTTGGGAGCTCATAGACAGTTAAGAGTCAAGAATACTTACATAAGCAACAACAACAATGATAAAAGGAGCTCAAACAAAGAACAACTACAGCATTTTCCTGCTTTTGGTGAACCTAAAACTTGGATAATGTAAAAGTGCTTATCCTCTAAAAAAATCCCTAAGCTTCCATCCATAGAAAATTCTGCTGACAAGCAAGATGTTTATGTTCAAATTTCTATCACTTAATATGGATATTGATGACATATTATCCGAAGGCATCCTACCACCAGGTAGATGTTGCAAGTAAACTATCACCATGGAAACGAACCTGCTTTATTTCGGGAGGAGCAGGCATTTCAGGGGCCAGATCTTCACGTTCCTCAGGATCATTGCCCACAGCTTCATCATCATCAGTGAAGATTTCTTCATGCTCCCAATCATCTCCTATAACAAAGCGACACAGATTGAAAATCTACATAGAGTCCTCCAGATCGGGTCAACAGATTAAAAGGAAGATGATGAAATAGCATCTGTATAACCAAGGTGAGAAGAAGAAATCCCATGCAAACAGATAACCAAATATAATGCACCACAACAGTCTACTCACCCTTCTCAATGTCATCATCATCCATGTCATGATCACCGCCCCTTGGACCTTCTTCATCGTCATCAAGATCCTTTTTATTGAGCCCGAGCCTACTCTTCCTTGCTGCCTCTGCATCTTCATCTTCCTCTCCTCTGTCAGATACATTACCTTCATCGTCGTCAGCAGATGACTTTTTACGACCCCTCCCACCACCTCCACCACCACTCTCTTTGTCGTCAAACTTGTCCACCTCACCAAATGCTGCAGGACCATTATTTGCCGTCTTCATCATCCATCTTTGATAGCCATCAGCAGTTTTTCTACGATTCTTCATCTTCTCTTCTGCCTCTTCGAGAGTAAGTTGCTTATATTGTGCAACTTTGTTGAAGTTAAACCTAACACAAGAGCATTAAGAAACAAGAAGTTTTGAAAGATAACAACATACTAAAATGGCTTAGAACTCATACATGTTTCGATATTATTTGCAAATAAGAAAAAAGCATTCCTTATGAAATTTGATAACTGAGCTGTCTCAAACATTTTGGAAACCTGACAGGCTTTTAAATTCTAAACAAGAACATTGCACCAAAAGAAAGTCTGTGAATACCCATCAAATTAGAAAAGCCCAGGAATTTGTTTGTCCATACCAAGAACCAGCCGGAATTGCAAAAAACTCCTTGTTTTGCAGCACTAACAGATAGTAGGTTGCCGATTGTGAACCTTCAAGATGTCCCTGGAACTGAAACTGCCCGGTTTCATCTTCCAATACCCAAGGTTTATTCTTTAACTTTTCCTAAAATTTTATTCACGCACCAATAAAAATCTACTATGAGAGATATGTTAAACATGATATTGACAACGCAGCAAAAGATGGGCAAACAAAATACCCGTTGAGCATCAGTAAGCTGGCGACCTTGTATTCCATCTTTACGAAGACTCCATTTATTCTCAACATTCTTCTTGAAGTTCGGAAGACCAGTCACGAATCTACCAATGAAGTAGTTCTTATCGCTGGCCAGGCTAGCACGGACATTGTATTCCTAAATGACAAATTCAAAGACATCACTCGATTTCTTCAGCTCAGAAAATAAGTGAAAATAGCACAGAAAACCCCAAACCATAAAAAAGAAAAATAAATAACGGACATGCCATCAACCTATACGTGTATGAAATATATTCAGTCCAGAGAACATATACATACACTTGCTAAATCGCACAAGAACTGACAAGTTTTCAGAGAAGATCTTAAAGCTAACAACTGATGAAAGAAATACGGAACCCTAAATCCGAACCATTTACTCAATTTCATCAGTTCAGAAGAAATGAAAACCCTAAATCAATAGCCACCCTGACGTAAAGAAACGCATAGAACAGACACAGGGAAAGGCTTGTGAAGAAACCGAACCCGAATCAGGCGCGTGACGGTGGTACCGCACTCGTAACACTTTCCTTTGTTCTCCGCCATGGTTTTACCACACTGCAAGCACAGCGTCATGTGCTTGCAGGTGCTTCCATACAACTCGGACTGCGATCCACAGCCGCTACACGCCGTCTTCAACATCAGATCGTACGACATATCGTGGCGAGAACAATCCCCAGGTTCTCCCTCCTCCCCTTCCTTTCCAGAGAAACGAAAGCAAGAGAGTGGAACAAGATCAGAAAAGACTCCGAAAACGAATTAGGGTTCCATCAAAAGAGATCGAAAAGATGAGTTAACAAAGCGAAGGGTTCTATGTCGATTTCAGAACTCGTATTACCTTAAGATTCGAAATTGGGTCAAGAGCTTCGAATCGAATTTCAGAGGGTTCGGCGAATTTTCCGTTCTAACGGTAATCAAAAGTTTCGGCTTTCGGCCTCTCCGTAGCTTTCGGCCCGATAAACGAACTGAAGATGGCGTACACGACTATATATAGCGCCGCGAACGCACTTTACATATAACTTAATAACCACGTCCTTTCAGCTGCGTTTTCTGCATCGACATAAACTTGATTTCATAATATATATATTTGGAAAAATTCCAAAAAAGTTTACCGAAGTTTCGTAACCGAATAAAAAATAAAAATAAGTTATATGCGTTTTTTTTATCAAAATCGACCCATATTTATTTTAAAAATTCGAAAAATTTAATATTATTATATTTTCATTTTACCAAGGTTTATATACAGTATGCTCGATTTGATGGGTTATCTAAATGTAGAACATATGTTCATTCAAATATAAAATATAGATATTATACAAGTTAAATCGGCCTAAACCGAAACCCTATGATCATTTCAGCTGAGGCATATTAAACCAAATCATTTGAATCGAAATGCAGAAATATGTATACACAACTCATACATATTAAACCAAATTAAACCGAACTAAACCATTCGGTATGAGCTAATAATCTCAACTATAAACGACGAAAACTTATAGATGATCCTCCTTCAATCATAATAGGAAACCCACAAAATTGAACCAAGATTTCAATACAAAATACAGAATCAAAAAACCTAATCCCAAGTGGCTGACATAAAGTTAGAACCCTCCATCTTCCACAAGATCCTTTTTGCTCAAGAGGAAGTTATTCCATGGCAGTCCACTCACTTGCATTAAAAAGCTTAACCCAAAACTCATCCATGGCTTCCAATGCTTGTAAATGTTTCCCACAACAGGGAGTAGTTTGATCATTATGGAAGAAAACACTTTGAACCATAAACCGTAAATGGAGGTCGGGTTTCTACTATTACTGGTGCTGCTCATATATCTGCATATACGCCTCGGATAGGGCTACCATTTGCGGAAGAGTCTCGGCTACGTGCAGATCCTGCATCTCGTACCTGTAAATGTGAAAAATTCTCTTCCCAAGTCAGTTCATGAGTATTTTATCCTGAAAATTCTTTTCGAGATCCAACAACGGATATTCATTTTTGGAATGTGAGCAACATGGGGAAAAGGGTTTTGATTGTCAGCCCTAGTTTCGCATCGGCTACCTAATTTCGCAAAAAAGTGAAAAATTCTTTTTCCAGTTTCATGTAGGTAGGAATAACACTTACCATAGTTCTTCTGATTTCCGCTGCACGAAAACTCTGTAGTACCCATCCTCTGGCTTTCCATCATGTACAATGTTAGCGATAAGATCATACTTAGAACGAAGTTTCTCCCGCTCTTTGGATGTTGGCAAAGGTATGTAGTCCTTCAGTTCCAGGTTCTTCACTGGGAAGTTAACTGCACAATTAAAAAACACGGGTCAGTTTAACCATGCATTAGAAACCTTTACTACCCTCCGAAAAATTGAGAGCCAAGAGCAAAAAAAAGACTCACCCAAGGTGGGATTCTTCTCCTTGAAGAAATTATTCTTCTTGAAGCGAACCATATGGAATATCACGTAAGGAGGCAATTTAGTCACACGATATCTCATCCTGGCTATACGAGGACGAACCACCTCCGTCACAGTCTCTCCATCAAACTTCTTCAGTATATTGAACAAAGGAACCTGAGCCAAGCATATGAGAGATTAAGTAAAACTACCCCAATGGCAAACCCTAAAACGTTTGACACTATAACACAAGGTAACAAGCCGAGAAGTTACTGAAGTTCCTAGACAGACAAAATTTCAGGTATGCAGTAAAACCTAACTCATAAACTCAATGTCAGTATGAGAGAGTCTATATCGCGACATTGATGTACCACATAATCTATCATCTAGGCTTAATCTCCTTTTCAAAATAATGTGATGTGTAATGACTAGATATAGCTAACCAAAAACAACAGTAGATGTTAAGAATGCAACTTTACAACAATTGCAAGTCTACTTTAAAAAACCCCCCGCTGAACTCTAAATATCCAAAGCCCCCAATAATTTGAAAGCTCTGAAATCACCGGGAATTTGAATGATTCAAAGCCACAGTACTTTGCAACAGCTAGACATGTAATTTACCTGCGGAATTATGTTTTTCTCCATTACGTCTTTGAAAAGAGGAGGCGGAGGTAAATCTAGCCCCAGCATTAGAAAGGGCATTCTGGAAGTTTCTTTCATCACGTTACTGGATTCATTACCACCGTCTGTCTCTTTGGACGCATTCGGCTCTGCACCATTATCATCCTTTTTCTCAATGTTCGCATGGCTTTGATACTCTTTCACAACCTCCAGTTCACCCTGCAATTGTTAGCAGTCATCAAGAACAACCGGACTACAGAAAATAATTATGTCAAGTTGATGTGATGTACAAACTAGTTCATAAGACAGACACACCTGAAAGCACTGGTGGATGATACTGCTACCGTTCTTTGAAGTTCTAAGATCTGAGTGCAGTGTGTTGAGAAGCCACGACATAAACTCCACAGGATCAGACTGTTGGCCTATTCTAAACCTTTTCTTGCTAGCTTTCATGACAGCTTGCAAAAATTCATGTGGACTTACCTGTCGATGCAAAGAACTTAAATTAACAATGTCCTCAGTTAGTGGAAGTATGACCTGAGACTCAATGCAGCCAGGTTCACACCTGTCCTTTAAAGTTTCGGGAATGCCATATCTTCCTAGAAAGCTCCCCAAAGCGGTGAACAAGAGGAGATCTGCAGTGCTGATAATTCTCGGGGATGAGGAAAAAGTTCCTTAGAGGAGTAACCCTCATCAGTGATTGAATAATAACATTCACAAAGTCAGTTTTCTGTATGTTATTCAGCCCCACCTACAGATACACACACAGTAAAAGCAAACTTAGAAACACAGAAAATCTCTGAACCAGGAAACAACCAACTGGTTGGGGGAGAAGGAATTACCATTCCCGGAAGATAGTCAGAACCATCGAGGGCCCTGGACCACTGCTTACTTTTGTCAAGCTGTTTCACCTGTTCCCTAGTAAACCTGCAAGCAGGCAACACAATAATCTTAACAAGGGGAAACAGAAACGAGGTACAGCAATTTCATTAAGCATAAAGGCTGAATCTCAAGTACGTAAATGAAGACTTCAAACAATCCGTATAAAAAATATGCAAAATGGGTGTTGGATGATACAGAGAGACTTGCAATATGAGGGCACCAAATTGGATAAGAGTTCAAGGTGAAACACTTCCGGAGTTATGGAAACAACTAAATGCAAACGTGAATTACCGAGTAAGAGGGCGTTTGAATACGGAGGATATTTCAGACAGCACAATATAAGAAGTAGTGTATTAAAATACCTTGGATTCAACACATGCCGTATGTCATCCAATGAAGGGTCGTTAATCTCGTAGCCATCAGGAAGACAATAGACTTTCTCTGTTTGAAGATTGATGTAAACATGATGTCCTGCCTCCAAACTGTGAGTATAGGCATGGGACTTCTGACCTCTTCCTTGATAGTACTTCCCACACACAAGGCATGCATACACATTTAAATTCGACAAAGAGACAGAACAGAACTTCTCGAAATCAAAATCCAACACCTGAAATTCAACATAAGAACTGCATTTAGTTTCTCTTCACATAAAACAAAGAATACCAAACACATAGCGAACGTGTACAGAACCATCGATGTCAAGTATCCGGTCAAGGAAAAATTATCATTCACTGGGATTGATTACCTGTCGATTTACAGTATCAAGGTAAGGGCAATCACGGCGAACTTCAACATGCCGGGAATGTTTCCCCCGACCTCCTCCCTGACCCTTTGATTCATCGTCATCATAATCATCCTCATCTTCTTCTTCTTCACCACTTTCCCCTTTGGCCTTGTTCCCGTTTCCCTCCAATTTTGCAACTCCATTGTCATGACCTCCACGGACACGAGCTAGTATTCTCCTCTGATCGTCTTCCTCGTCTTCATCTTCGTCGTCGTAAGTATTAGCCAACGGCAAAAGAGGGTTGTTGAAACCAAGCGGCGGAGGCGGAGAAGCAGACCGTTCCACCAACCTCCGACGCTTCTCATCTCTCTCTTCCTCAGAAACACCATTCCTATCTTCTCTTTCGGTTTTCATCCTCAAAATCTCGAGCAGCTCGTTCAAACCCTAGAACCCAGAGAAACTTTGGTAGACGACGCTTTTCTATAAGAAAAAGTAACTCCAACAAGAACAACTGTCGTAAACAAATACCTGTTGCTGCAAATCAGAACATCCTCCGACGACGACGACAAATCTGCTCGAGCATATACTCTCGCTCACTGGTATTTTCTCGAGAAAATTCGGGAAAGCTGATGGCTCCGAGAACCGACCCGGAAACCAGATCTCAAGTTTCGGATCGCCCGAGTCAACCCGAGGATTTAAGCCCAACAGTATTGACCCATTAAAGGCTGGGCTTTCTTCTTCTTTTAGTGGGCTGCGTATATTTTTAATCACTTTTTATTATATTTTAGATTTATATTTTATTTCTGGAAATAGAGAAGATAATGTACTATTATCTTTCTACTGGCCTAAATGACATTATTTTCTCTCGAATATATTTTGAAGTGTAATTTTGAGATTATACATAATTCAAATTTCAAGTCTATTCCTTTTCGATTGAATACCTCACACATATCGCAGAATGACAATTTTACCCTCACCTTAATGGCACTCTATGCGGTGAACGATAGGGGTAAAATAGACATCCCATTCAGCCCAGCCCATTAACAGTGACAAAACCAACGAGAAGGGTGTTTTGGTCATTCCGGAGATATAAACAGAGGGAGAGAGAAAGAGAGAAGACGTAGAAGAGAGAGAAAGAGATGAGGGTAGAGAGAGGAAGAAGAGTTTAGAGAGAGAGAGAAAGAGAGTTTTCTTCTGTGGGGCATTTGTTTTTTTTTAATTAATTTTTTTTCCTTCGGTGCTGCGAACTATATGAAGCTCTGAGCTTTCGTCACCAATGGCGTCGGACCAGGAAATAGCGAAAGGGGTGGAGGCCCTTCTCCGTCTATCCGAACCTAATTCGCTCACCTCGTTAAATGTCGTCGTTCAACAGCTAGAGGCCAAGCTAGGGTTAGACCTCTCGGAGAAGGCGGATTTTATTCGTGATCAGATCAATCTCCTCCTCCGTGCTCACCCCTCCTCAGCCGCTACATCCTCCGTCTCCGCTGTGGAACCGTCGCCTCCTCCGCCTCAAACCGCCGTCAATGTGCCGGCGAAATCCCACTTCGCCCTCCACCACCCTTCGCAATACCCTCATCCTCAGCACCAGCAATTCCCTACCCATTTCTCCCTTCAGCAGCCTCCCCACCACTCCTATGACCTAAATTTCCAGCAGCCGTATCCGGTGCCTGTTCCGCAGATTCCGCCATCGCAGCATCAGCCTCTGCGACAACCGCCGCCGCGGGATACTTATGGCGCGAATTCTATCATCTCTTTTGATCAGGTTCAGGCTCCGAAAGAAAGGTGCGTTAGGAATTTTTTTTCCTAGTGCTCAATTTCGTCGATTTGGGATCCAGTGTTCGTGATTAGGGTTTTAGCCGTATGATTTTTTGGGTTTCGTGCTTAATTGGAAAGAGGGATTTACACATGAATATCATTTATTTTTTGGATTAGTTTTCTGCTTATTCACTGAGTTTTACGGTTCAAAAAGTTTCCAAAATCTTTTGAACATGTATCTAATCTATCAACCTTTCGAGATATGTGGATCTGTGGTAATTTCTTACTTCATTACACATTGAAAATATTTCCTCTGTAAAAATCTGTTCTTTTACGCAAATTGTCAAAGTAGCTACTCCACACGTGTGGAAAGTTATGGAAGATTTGCTGCATCAATGCCAATTACATGACATCCCCAATGTTCTTCATTACAGTGCTCCAGCAAGAACCAAGAGAAAGGGTGGGTCTGGTGGTCTGAACAAAGTCTGTGGGGTCTCTCCTGAGCTTCAGGCCGTAGTTGGGGAACCTTTTCTTCCAAGGACTGAGGTCATTACCATCCTTCTTTCCCGATTCTCGAAATGATCCGATCGAATGTGTGATAGAGTAGATTCAGAGAATTTTGCTGTTTTCGATTTTCTGCTGTTTTCAGATTGTGAAGCAATTATGGGCTTACATAAGGAAGAACAACCTCCAAGACCCAAGTAACAAGCGGAAGATCATTTGTGACGACCCACTGCGTGTGGTTTTCGAGACGGATTGCACTGACATGTTCAAAATGAATAAGCTTCTCTCGAAACATATCCTCCCTCTTGACCCAACAAGTAAGTGGATAAGGTTCTTGCTCAACTGCTTATGCCTTTGGTTAGTTCTATTTACTGACTACTGAATCTCTTTTTGCAGAGGAATCTGGTCAAGCGAAACGGGTGAAAGTCGATGCTGAGTCTACGACTGAAACCGTAGAGCCAGTTAGTTCTACTGTTGTACTGTCTGAACCCATTGCTAAGTTCTTTGGGACAGGTGAGACAGAGATGGTGGAAACAGAAGTTGTTCAGCGTGTTTGGGATTACATAAAACTCAATCATTTGGAGGTGAGTGCTTCATCTATGGTTCTTGTGGATTTCATGTGGATTCCAGACTCTTTTTTTTTTTTGACTTGCCATAAGCTTCAATGCCCTTATTGTGCATGAAATATTCTTTGAGAGTAGATGTGAAATTTCAGCATGTTCTTGTAGCACAGTTGATGATCTACCTCTCTGATTAGCCATAAATAAAAAAAATAATCAGGCTTATATTTTTCCATTTATTCCAATTTTTTTTTTTAAATGTATCCAGGATCCCGTGAATCCGATGGCAATACAGTGTGATGAAAAGCTCAGGGATCTTCTTGGATGCGAAAGCATTTCAGCGGTGGGGATAAATGAGATGCTGAGGCGTCATATGTACAAGCGGTCAGTGATATCAGACGGGCCGTGACTTTAACTAGTAGCGGTGTAAGCAAGATTCATTTCCAAGAACACACTATTACCATATATATATATATATATAATAGCATATGGACTTATGTATATAGCGATTCTCTTGCAGGTGCGAGGAGAGGGAACCCTTCTTTGTGTAGGACATGATGTAGAACTCTGACAGGAAGAAACATATTATATATAACTTGCTTTATGTTTCTTCATCATCATCAGCCTCCCAAGTTCTTGGGTTGGCTGGTTGTGTTGTGTATCTATTATCCGCATATCTGTTGTTCTTTTAGCATGAAAACTTGGCTCTCACGGGCTGGCAGGCAAAGGGCGAGATGATATGTTTTGTATTTACGCCATTTGCCATTTGATGTGTAGGAAAACCCTTGTTCAGTTTGTGTGTTTTTTATCTTGTTTGCTATGCTGATGTTCGGTTTCTTGTAATTTGGTTTGAAACAGACTCTTGGTCTGGTGAATTGAAATCAGTAGGGAGTGTCACCATGGAACTAATGGTGACATCCTTTGTATGGGCATATGAAATCTTGCTCTTGCATGGCGTATGGAATAAGATCTTTTCAGAACATCCTTTGTATGGGCATATGAATTCTTCTCTATGGATATAAGCATTGCGATAACAGAAGTTACAGAGAAGAACTATAGAAAAGATGAGATGCCCGCAATTTTCGTCCGTGTCCAAATTCTCGGACCCTCTTCGTGAACTAGAGTCTTCAAAAGCTCTTTTTGGTGATCGGGAGAAAAGATTCCATAAAAAGAGCGAATCTTCAGAGCCGCTTAACTCTAGGTCGTGCTTTCTACATCGGATCGAGCGGAGAGAAGAAGCAGACGAGGATAATTCCGAACCCTACGGTGAGAGATCGAAGTAGTAGAGAGCTTCATCAATGGCGGAGGATCTGGTTCTAGACACGGCTATCAGAGACTGGGTTCTCATCCCTCTCTCCGTCGTCATGGTCCTCATCGGCGTTCTCCGCTATTTCGTCGCCAAGCTCATGCGTTCTTCTCAGCCTCCCGACCCTAAGGTTGTCAAAGAAGGGTGAGTCTCTCCCCTGTCGGCCGAAATCCAATCGTGGAGTTATGTCTGTTTGCGTGCTTTTTTATTAGCTGATTCGATTTGATGTGTTCTGTTGTTTCGTGTTTGATTTTCCAGGCAAGTTATTCTTAGGGCTCGGAATCTGAAGGCTGGTGCCAATTTTATCCCTCTCAAATCGTTCCGAGCCCGGAGATTCTATTTCAGCAACGAGGTCTGTTTTCTAGGTTTGCCCTTTCGTGTTTTCCAGATTCTGATAGGCAAAGTTCGTGTTTTTTTCATGATTCCTAGCGCGTAATTAGCTTGGCGTTTATATTCCTCTGCGCTTTCAGTCCAGCGATCTGTTTAATTCAGTGGTACTTTGCTTGCTAATATCTTCCTTATTTCCCCAAATGAATGACCTTTATTACCCAATTGTCTTAGTTTTAGAAGCAGATGAAAGAAAGCCAATGCATAGTTGGGTCTGGGATTGGTTATCGCTTCCTGTTCTTTAATGGGACAAGGATAAGAGACTACATTCTCAGCGATGATCAGTTGCACTTATTGAGGTTATAAGCTTTGGATCAGATAGTTTATCTTCCGAGCACCCAAATGATTGTTCCTATTGTCTGTTAATTAGGGATGGAATGGTCTATCATGAGTTGCTTGCAGCTTTGCACCTGGAAGAATGACACTAATAATGCTTTAGGTGTCTCCTTTAGGAAGTCCATTCTTTTACACGTTTTATCATCTCAACTGGAATTCAGTATTATAGTTTGTGCATGTAGGATAGGAAATTGAGAAACAGATGCGTTACATATTTCAGGAGAATGGTTTACTACATGTTCCTAAGGGCCAAGCTCAAAATCCGCAAGCCCAGATGTTTTCTGATCCTAACATGGCCACAGACATGATGAAGAAAAACCTTTCGATGATTATACCACAGGTAAACATATTTTTATAATTATTCATCTTTGCCTTTGTATTATGGGTGAATGAGGAAACTGATGTGATCTGCCATCTGCCAGACGCTCACTTTTGCCTGGGTCAACTTCTTCTTCTCTGGATTTGTTGCAGGTCTGTTGCTTCTAAAATTGTTGTTCCATTTTTGTTTTTTTCGTCGCTTCATAGCCGGAAAATATTAATCGGTTTTACATTCCTGGCTTTTGTTGTTCTCTTTAAACTGTTATTATTGCAATTCGAGTTTTACCATCTCTTTTTTTGTTCTATATCTGTTGATTTTGGATGCCTTAGCTTCTGAAACTTCCTCATCTTTTTTTTTTAATTTCTTGTGTCGCAGCAAAAATACCGTTCCCATTGACTCAGAGGTTCAGGTCAATGTTACAGAATGGGATCGACTTGAGCACTGTCGATGTTAGCTATGTGAGCAGCCGTTCATGGTAATGTTAGCCACGTCAATTTCTCTTGTTTCTTCCTTATCTTCCATATGTTTATATGGTTCCTTCTGGGTAATGCTCTGTTTATAGTTTCATGAGCTGTTCTTTCATGTTTCAGGTACTTCCTCAACTTGTTCGGATTGAGAGGTTTATTCAGTCTCATTCTTGGAGATGAAAATGGTTAGTTTCCCACTTATGATTTCCCGGCAAGTATAAACTCCATTAGTTTAAGTATGCAGCGTATTCCTCAAAAGTTCAAGGCTTTAAGCTTTTTCATTTTCTTCTTGGTTTCTCTGTGGCTGTTATAAAGTTTTGCTCTTATGCAGCTATTGATGACACTCAACGGATGATGCAAATGGGCGGATTTGGGTTCGATCCCAGTAAGGTAATGAACAACTTTCTTGGAATCATTTGGCATTTTTCGGTTTTCTAGTTCATGAGATATTTATCTGTTCATCGTCAATCGATCGTGTCCCTTTGACATAGTTTCAAGCTGTAAGTTATGTCGAGAAATATTCCTTCAATTGTCTCCATAGTAGAACCGATATACAACAAAGGGAGACAAAATAGTCTCAAACTCATCAAGTATTAACGATTTTCCACATCAGCTTTTGTCCAAGATTTCTTCAGCTTTTCCATTTCTAACTTTGGTACAAACCCTAATTCCGTATCACCGTGTGTGATCTTTGAGCAGAACCTGAGCGCCGAGAAGGATGGCCTCGACATAATTCAGCATGAGTGGGCTCTCCCCACGTTCGAGCAGCGTGCAGAATCGGTGTTGAGAAAACTCGTCAGCTGAAGGAACATGATTTCCTGTATCGGGTAAACTTAGAACAGTACAATTCATTTCGAGTTTTTTGATATTGCTCACTTGAATTCAACCATCTGCCTCTTTGTTCATGTTAAAAACTCCCCCAAGTTTGCAGAAACTCCAACATGAAATGGAATCTGATCTTAGCTTCTTAATTCTGGTACTTGTTGCTCTGTGGGATTTGTGCTTCTTCACTCGCAAAAGTAAAAAAAAAAATTGTATCCAGTTTTCTCCAGAAACTCTTATAAGTATATGTTAGCTTAGGTTTAGATTTGTCTAATGTGGTTGTGTCCGGTTCATTGGATGTATGGCATGGCAGTCTTTATCTTAGTGTGTCATTATTTGCTGAGTCTCTTTCACAGCGTTGGCTCCTCCTCGGAGGGCTTCTCTTTAGTTGTCTTAGTCAATAGTCACTTCATTCTAGAGATATTAAATGGTTTGGGTCAGATTGGATAACACAACCCAATAATAATTTTATTTGAATTATGTATTTGGATTATATGTGGATATATCAAACATATATTTCATTTACTATTTTGATTTCAACTCGTATCTTTTTCCAGATTTTATCATGTGATCAGAATGATATTATGATCAAATCGTGGTCACATTAATCATAATATTAAATCTATAATGGTTTCACCAAATGATTAATATGATATATTAGGTGTGATCATGGTGATTTGGTGTAATTAATATAAATTTAACGTTATGATCAATGTGATTATCATATGATTATACTGTCATGTTAGTCATATGGTCACATCATCTGACCATCATCTAGAGATATATATGAGTTGAAATCAAAATAGTAAATGGAAAGTATTTTTGATAATGTCTCGGATTATATTAATTAAATGGATTTATAGGTTTAACCTATTAATATCATGGATTAAATGGATAATATAAATATAAATCTTAATTAAATAACCATTTTAATTGGATTAATAAAATCATTTCTATCTAAAAATCAAGCATAATCGATCCAAATCAACTCATATAGTTTTTTATTTAGTTTGAAATAACTTAACTCATTAATTTGTCTAACCAAATGAATAAGATCAAAATGGGTTGCCCATTTTGACATCTCTATTTCATTCTCTATCCCTTTTCTTGAGGTGTGGGCTTGATCTATTTAACTAAATTAAAATGAAAATTTCCTTATATTTGAATCCTTAACAAAATGAGGACGTATACTTGATTAAGTTCAACATCATATGGAAATGTTCACTACACAGCTTCAATGATCAATTTATTCAGTCCAATATATCTCTCGGGAGTTAGGTTGTGATTATCGTACTTAGTCTTACAACATATTTTTGTTCATCCGCTTTGTTTCTCCTTCTATAGCATCAATTTTTACGTGGAAAGAAACGCCATGCAGCGCTCGTCATTCATGCATGCAACGAAAGGAGATCATGTAAAAAGTGGGAAACACGTACTATTTTTATTCATAACCACTTTCATCACAAGATATGCCTAAATAAACATACACTGCAATAAAAAGTAGCACACTTTACGTTAAAAAGATACGTCACTCAATATACTCGCATGCATGCGTGTACATTCAGTTTTATTTATCGGTGATATGTATGTATAGGGCTATAGGGCTTTTGCATATAAGGGCAGGTTTTTCATCAGTTGGTGACGCCGATCTGGCGAGTACAGAGGAATTGGATGAGAGCACTCGGGTCAATAAGAGGGATGGGAATACCGAGAATATTCCCGGAGAGGGAGATTCTGATGCAATTGCTAGCCTGAGTATTGGTGAGACCCATGATGAAGGAGCAACACACCGACTGTGCAGAGGGTGACCCTATTTGCACGCTTGTCCCCACACTTCCTCCATTGATACCGACATTGACGGAACTCGTTAGGATTTCCCGGGCACAGCTCCTGATCTGTGAGATCAGATTGCTCGGGCAAACGGCCCCGGTGATTTGGCCGTTGGCTGTTTTGGTCAGGTGGGGGGAGGAGAAGAGGAGGAGAATGCCGAATGCAAGAACAAGAACCCTTGTGGTCGAATCCATGTTTTTGTAAACCGAAACGATGTTTCTTTTTTTTCTTTTTGTGTTTGTTTGATGGAAATGATGGGAGGGGGTTTAGGGTATTTATAGAATTTTTTGAATATTTGACTTGGAAAAAATGCCGTGGTTAATTAATTCCAAGCGCCAAACCTATTATCTTTAGATGAAGGTTGGAGATTAGGGGCTCCTTATTTCCTTAATCTTTTCCTGATTCTCTACGGCATTGGTCTGAGTTCTACACTAGAGGGAGGGTGGACATTTCAATTTCGGATCGGTTTTGGTTCAAGGTTGACTAACCGGAATGTATCCTATATAGGGTATTCGGTTTACTTTGATTCGGGTTTCAATTTTTTACTCTTTTGGATAAGGGAGTTTATTTTTATGTTTCCGATTTGTATGTTCAAGTTCAATTTCAAGAATATGTTGTTGAACACAAAAACATAGACCGAGTTCGGTTTGGCTTGGTCGGGATTTTGTTCCGCTCGATTTGGATCGGTTTCAACTTATACAAAGTCGCCTGTAAAAATTCTCATTTATGTTGAGATTTTTAGAGTAAATGAATGAGAATTTAGAACCTCTCAAAAGGAGTCATGTTTCACGTGTATTACAAATATGGTGAAGTAGTTAAATGCTTGTAAAAGACGTGTCATGAATTGGCTAAGTTGTTAAGGATTTGTCGGAAAAATTTACGTTCGGTTTTGAACGTGAAGAATGATCTCAGAAAAAATGGGAGGGCAGCTCGAAAACATGGGAGGACGGCCTATTTTTTCTGAAGAATAAAACCCAGAAATAAATAAGCGGTAGCTCGAAAAAAACGGGAGGACAGCCCGTTTTTTCTGAGCAGTTCGGAAATAACGAAAAATCGCGACCGTTCGGAAAAAACTTCTGATTTCTTCACACCTTTCGACATTTAGAGTGTTTATAAACACCACTAGACATCCTAACACGACATATAACAGATCTAAGTCGTTTTTTGAGAGATTTGAGAGCATTTTTATGATTGTTCTTGCAAAACATTCACAAAAACTTTTTGTTCATCTTCTTCTTGCGGTTTCTTGTGTTTGTAATCTTAGGAGAGCAAACTAAGATCACTTTTCTCTTCATTATATCTCAAAAACGTATTTCGGAAAGTCCTTTGCTCGTATAGGACGAAATAATATTTTTAGGAAAGTGTATCACGCCTTGAAGAGTTATCCGGTTCCCGATTTACTTTTCTTGTTCATTTTATATCTCAGAATATTTATAACAATTTATCGTTAGGAAGAGAAATGGTAGAATGGATATGTAACATGTATGTATGTATGTATAAAAATGTTAATTTTTTATAAATTTTGTAAAATTATGAAAAAAATATTAAATACTCCCATAAAAATAAAAGTCTTTGTAAAATTATATGTATAAGATTATTGTCCTTTCATAATTTTCTCTAAACCCCCACTGATTTTCTCTCTCTCCTTCATTTTCTTTTACGAAAAAAATAACAAATTTTATATGCATCCAAATTCATAAGCGAGTGTACAAAGACGCTAGAGATTTTCAAATTCAATAAAAATTATGTTGGTCCATTTTAAAGGTGAGTGCACGCTAGATTATCTATCTGTACAAGATTTACACCTTGGAATATATATATATACACACTATATATTAATGGAATGAAACGACGACATTCCAACCTGAGCCAATTCGCCTGCAATTGAACAAGTCGTTAGGGGTGTCAATTTGGGCCCGATGCCCAAAGCTCGGCCCGGCCTAGTCCAGAAATTCGTGGGTTTCGGGTCTAAATTTCTCGGCCCGAAAAAAATCGGGCTTTTTGGACCGGGCTCGAATCGGGCTTCGAGTTCGAGTCGGGTCGGCCTGAAAGCCCGATATTTAAAAAAAATAAAAAAAATAAATTTTACAAAGGATTTATGCGGATCGGTCCGGTCCGGGCCGACCCGAGCCCAGTATATACAGGACCGGGCTTCGGACTTAACTACTTAGGCCCGAAAAAAATCGGGATGGCCCGACCCGAGCCCGGTATATATATATAGGACCGGACTTCGGGCTTAACTACTTAGGCCCGAAAAAAATAGGGGCGGCCCGAGTCCGAAACTTTCGGGCCGAGTGCGGACTCAGGCCGGGCCGGCCCGATTGACACCCCTATAAGTCGTTTTATTAATAGAGGACCGTTATATTCGCGATTCCTTTTATGTACAGATCATGTATGTTTTTTAACCTCCTTTTTATTTATACATATATGCGAGTAGATGTTTGCGTTCGAATTTATTAGAATAATTTCGCTTTATGAGATTCTCCCTGAAATTATAAATTATAACTCGAACCCGTATAAATAAAATAAAAATTATAAGATGTTTATTTCGAGGATGGATAGATAACAAATTTTATTAAATCCCAGTACATATGCATTATATATGGTGGCTTATTTAAGATCGTGCAGCCTTTCTATCCAAGTTAGGCAGTTCAATTGACAAGACTATTCATATGGATTTCTATTTGGGAAAAGACATTGACATAATTTTTTTCGATCTTTTGGAAGATGTAATTAGATCGAAGATTTGATAAACTTTCGAATTATAAAATAATTTGGCCTTTCTCGAATCAGTTTTATATATTTCACTTCATCAGTACAATTAATTTTTTTTCATTGGTTCAGACACCTTACTAAACATCGATACATTAATTTGTTCGTATGCATGAAAGAAAAATGGTGTTTTAGCACATAATATATCCTCATTAAATATTTTATAGATGGCAGTATAAAATATTTATCGTAAACCACATGATGTGAGCTCGGAAAAAAAAGACAACATCTTCCGACAACATAAATCAATTTATTTTATTAGCGGAATACATAAGATAGAAAAAGCATAGAAACACGGTTACGATAATATTAAAGCTCATAATTTATTATCAAACATATATATATATATATATGCTATACATATTTTTAGTGTATCCATTATTACGTATATTAGCGTAGAAGGATTATTGTTTATGGACACTGAAAACCGGTTGGAACTCTTCTTTTACAAATATTGAGGATGGTATTAAGATTGAGGGGGAAGAGAAAACTAAAACTCTGCAACCTAAGTGCGGAACAGAGACAAATGCCTGCATCACGATCTGATAAACCATTAATGAGAGTGCAACATGGTTGCATCAAAGATGGGCTAATTCCGAAGAAAATGGATATGGAGTTGATAATATTGCCGCATGCCAATATTTGAAAGAAATTTCTAGGACATGTGGTAGAAGTTGGAGGAGGAGGGTTTGGAGGGGGCTGAAGGTTAGGGGGTGGGTTAAGGTTTTGGTTCGGAGGGGGGTTTAGGGTTGGAGTTACAGGGTTCGGGCTTGGTCTAAGGGTGGGAGTTGGGGTAGGTGAATGGTTTTGGCTAGGGCTAGGGTTTGGTGTATGGTTAGTGTTTGGGTTAGAGCTTTGATTCGGTGTCGGTGTCGGAGTTGGAATTTTGGGGTTAGGAGTGGGGACTTGAGTAACATTTTTGCTAGGTTCAGAGTTTGGAGCTGGGGTAGGGTTTTGATGCGATATAGGGCTTTGCGACGGAACAGAATTGGGAGTTTGGGTAGGAGTCATAGCATGATCCTGGCTAGGTGTAGGACTCGAGGTTGGGATTAGATTAGGGTTTTGGTTCGGTGAGGGAGTAGGGATTGAGTTACTCGGTGTGGGTGTTGGGGTTAGGTTAGGGCTAGGGTTTTGGCTCGTCGGTGTAGGTGTTGGGATTGGGCTAGAGTTTTGGCTCGGTGAGAGAGCAGGGACTGACTCACTCGGTGTAAGTGTTGAAGTTGGGTTAGGGCTAGAGTTTTGACTCGGTGTGAGGGTAGGGATTGAGTCACTCGGTGTTGGTGTTGGTGTTGGGGTCGGGTTAGGGCTAGGGTTTTGGCTCGTCGGTGTAGGTGTTGGGGTTGGGCTAGAGTTTTGGCTCGGTGAGAGAGCAGGGACTGACTTCATCGGTGTAAGTGTTGGAGTTGGGTTAGGGCTAGAGTTTTGACTCGGTGTGAGGGTAGGGATTGAGTCATTCGGTGTTGGTGTTGGTGTTGGGGTTAGGTTAGGGCTAGGGTTTGGCCTCGTCGGTGTAGGTCTTGGGGTTGAGCTAGAGTTTTGGCTCGGTGAGAGAGAAGGGACTGACTCACTCGGTGTAAGTGTTGGAGTTGGGTTAGGGCTAGAGTTTTGACTCGGTGTGAGGGTAGGGATTGAGTTGGTGTTGGTGTTGGTGTTGGTGTTGGTGTTGGGTTCGGGTTAGGGCTAGGGTTTGGCCTCGTCGGTGTAGGTGTTGGGGTTGGGCTAGAGTTTTGGCTCGGTGAGAGAGAAGGGACTGACTCACTCGGTGTAAGTGTTGGAGTTGGGTTAGGGCTAGAGTTAGGAAGAGAAATGGTAGAATGGATATGTAACATGTATGTATGTATGTATAAAAATGTTAATTTTTTATAAATTTTGTAAAATTATGAAAAAAATATTAAATACTCCCATAAAAATAAAAGTCTTTGTAAAATTATATGTATAAGATTATTGTCCTTTCATAATTTTCTCTAAACCCCCACTGATTTTCTCTCTCTCCTTCATTTTCTTTTACGAAAAAAATAACAAATTTTATATGCATCCAAATTCATAAGCGAGTGTACAAAGACGCTAGAGATTTTCAAATTCAATAAAAATTATGTTGGTCCATTTTAAAGGTGAGTGCACGCTAGATTATCTATCTGTACAAGATTTACACCTTGGAATATATATATATACACACTATATATTAATGGAATGAAACGACGACATTCCAACCTGAGCCAATTCGCCTGCAATTGAACAAGTCGTTAGGGGTGTCAATTTGGGCCCGATGCCCAAAGCTCGGCCCGGCCTAGTCCAGAAATTCGTGGGTTTCGGGTCTAAATTTCTCGGCCCGAAAAAAATCGGGCTTTTTGGACCGGGCTCGAATCGGGCTTCGAGTTCGAGTCGGGTCGGCCTGAAAGCCCGATATTTAAAAAAAATAAAAAAAATAAATTTTACAAAGGATTTATGCGGATCGGTCCGGTCCGGGCCGACCCGAGCCCAGTATATACAGGACCGGGCTTCGGACTTAACTACTTAGGCCCGAAAAAAATCGGGATGGCCCGACCCGAGCCCGGTATATATATATAGGACCGGACTTCGGGCTTAACTACTTAGGCCCGAAAAAAATAGGGGCGGCCCGAGTCCGAAACTTTCGGGCCGAGTGCGGACTCAGGCCGGGCCGGCCCGATTGACACCCCTATAAGTCGTTTTATTAATAGAGGACCGTTATATTCGCGATTCCTTTTATGTACAGATCATGTATGTTTTTTAACCTCCTTTTTATTTATACATATATGCGAGTAGATGTTTGCGTTCGAATTTATTAGAATAATTTCGCTTTATGAGATTCTCCCTGAAATTATAAATTATAACTCGAACCCGTATAAATAAAATAAAAATTATAAGATGTTTATTTCGAGGATGGATAGATAACAAATTTTATTAAATCCCAGTACATATGCATTATATATGGTGGCTTATTTAAGATCGTGCAGCCTTTCTATCCAAGTTAGGCAGTTCAATTGACAAGACTATTCATATGGATTTCTATTTGGGAAAAGACATTGACATAATTTTTTTCGATCTTTTGGAAGATGTAATTAGATCGAAGATTTGATAAACTTTCGAATTATAAAATAATTTGGCCTTTCTCTATTCCCTGTGTTCGACCCTGGTACTACAGTTGATCCGTATCCTTGCGGTATTCGCTGTATCTAGGTTTTTTATTACTTGAGCTTATTTACACACCTAGATTTGCGTTATCAAGTTTTTGGCGCCGT